CGTTCTATACATCAGAGGGTCTTTTTCAATATACTGTCCTCCCTTTTGGACTACATGGGGCCCCAGCTACCTTCCAGCGCCTCATGGACAAGCTATTACGCCCCCATAACAGTTATGCTGCTGCCTACTTGGATGATGTGGTCATTCATACCCCAGACTGGGAAACCCACCTGGAGAAGGTGGATGCAGTCCTCGATACCTTCAGGCGAGCTGGCCTTACAGCAAACCCTGCCAAGTGTGCTGTAGGGTTTCCGGAGGCCAAATACCTTGGCTACATTGTGGGAAAAGGTCTGGTAAAACCCCAAGAGAACAAGTTAGAGGCCATCCAAAATTGGCCCCGACCAAGTCGCAAGAAACAAGTCCGGGCGTTTCTAGGTGTGGTGGGGTATTACCAACGATTTATCCCCCACTTTGCCACAAGGGCAAGCCCCCTGACAGACCTAATGAAAGCCCGTGGACCTGATCTGGTGAGATGGTCTGACGCAGCAGAGGAAGCATTCACAGACCTACGGACTGTCCTCTGCAGTAACCCCGTACTGATAGCCCCTGATTTCACCAAGGAGTTTATCCTGCAGACAGATGCATCGGAAGTAGGGTTGGGGGCCGTTCTATCACAGATGGTCGGGGAGGAGGAACACCCAATTCTATACCTCAGTCGGAAACTCCTTCCAAGGGAACAAAAATATGCAGTGGTGGAGAGAGAATGCCTCACTGTAAAATGGGCCCTGGAAACATTGTGCTACTACCTGCTCGGGCGCAGATTTGTCCTCCTGACAAATGCCCCTCTTCAATGGATGCAGCAGAACAAGGAGAAGAACACAAGGGTGACCAGATGGTTCTTATCCCTCCAACCTTTCCAGTTCCGTGTGCAACACAGAGCAGGGAGCCGTCATGGCAACACCGATGGCTTGTCACGTATGCACTGTCTGGCATCCCAAGCTGCCCAATCCCTTTGCGTTGAGCAGGGGGGAGGGATATGTGACAGACCCAGACCAGTGGGGTACTGGAGTCTGGTAGAGGGCAAATATACTGGTCACTGGATGAGTCGTTTTCTGTTTCCTGAGTGACCAGAGCAGGGGCTGCACTAGAATAATCAGGAACCTGCTAGAACCAGTTAAGACAGGCAGGCTAATTAGGACACCTGGAGCCAATTAAGAAGAAGCTGCTAGAATCAATTAAGACAGGCTAATCAGGGCACCTGGGTTTTAAAAGGAGCTCACTTCAGTTTGTGGTGCGAGTGTGAGGAGCTGGAGCAAGAGGCGCAAGGAGCTGAGAGTGAGAGGGTGAGAGTGAGCGTGAGGGTGTGCTGCGCTACTGGAGGACTGAGGAGCACAAGCATTATCAGACACTAGGAGGAAGGTCTTGTGGTGAGAATAAGGAAGGCCATGGGGAAGTTTGGAGGGAGTTGTAGCTGTCATGCAGCTGTTACAGGAGGCACTGTAGGCAGCTACAGTCCACAGGGCCCTGGGCTGGAACCTGGAGTAGAGGGTGGGCCTGGGTTCCCCCCAAACCTCCCAATTGACCTGGACTGTGGGTTCTTCCAGAGGGGAAGGTCTCTGGGCTGTTCCCCAACCCACATGGTGAATCTCTGAGGCAAGAAAATCCACCAATAAGTGCAGGACCCACCAAGATAGAGGAGGAACTTTGTCACAATAGTTAAATAGATACCTCTAGAAACTGATCACTCCTAGTATGTTTTATTATCCTTCTATAATGTGACCCCTTTCTGTTTCTAGATCTGCCATTAAAAATGATCCTTTATTATTCTGGACCATAGCTTGTGCTACTGATTTTCCTTTCTCAGTCTGTGTTTTGGCTACCTAACAACTGGTAATTTACACATAGAGTGTGATTCTTTTCTCACACCAGTTTTACACCAGTATAACAGTATTGGCTTCATCTGAACTGCTTCTAATTTACACCAGTGCGAGCAAGAGGAGAGTCAGGCCCATCAGATTTAGTAATCTCTTATGGCATTATTTGTGCAGGGTTATTGTAGCCCGCCTTGAGACAGGGCTGTGGGGATCAGTTACTGAACAGTGCTGAGTTTTGTTGTGGTAGAGCATTGTGACCACCAGATGGGGCTCGTTTTTCAAAAGCAAGTGGGAATCTGCTTCAAACATAAAGTGGATTTTCAATTTATATGTCAGAAGTGCTTTGTGAGTGTGTTCTATAAAGATAAGACACTGGGGCTAATCAGGATAATTAATCAGCGAAAACCTATAAGGAGCATCATCTGTTAGCTTGTGGTACAGAGGAGAAATGACTGACAGCAGATTTCAAAAATGTGTGAGTGCATGTATTTAGTCTCATACTTTGGAATATGTATTTTCTTCCATTCCATACTTTTTGGAAATAAACATTAAAATGAGTTTCTGGTGTTTTATTTCCCATCATTATGGTATGAAGATATGTAGGAACACATTCTAGCTAACGCAAAGAAAGGAGAGTTATTTCTTCCCAAAATGAGTACTAAGGGGAAGATGTTAATGTGGTATAATTTGTCATAGCACCACTAATGTCAATGAAGTTATGACAATTTACACCAAAGGAAAATCTGCCCTCTACAGGATATATTCTGCAAAAATGGCATTATTATAATTTGCCCTCTACAGGATATATTCTGCAAAACATGGCACCATCTGCTGGCATGTTCCGCATGGGTTGTATGTACAGACTGCAGCTGTACTGGACGCAGGGGTTTAACATCAGCAGATTTAACTGCAGGATCAGAATCTTAGATTGTAAGCTCTTCTGGGCAACAATCTATCTTCCTACATCTCTGCAAAGTGCTTAGAATACTCTTATGTGCTAGATCAATATTTTATAGTAATAAGAATAAACTACTCTTAAATTGTACATATATAACACTGTATGTTTATCTGTGGATTTTGGTGATGTACAATAAAAAAACACTAGATAGACATAAAATTCATTGTGGTGATATTATTATTATCAGTAGTAGTCATTTGTATTGTGGTAGCACACAGGCGCTCCAGTCATGGACCAGGACTATTGTGCTAGGGGCTGTACAAACACAGAACAAACAGATGGTCTCTGCCCCCAAGAGGTTACAATATACCTCACTGACATGAATTCCGGAACAATGGCTGGATTACAAATGAATGCCAGTAAAATTTTCACCTCATCATGTATTCTGGTATGCGACATATTTTACAGAAAGACTCTTTCAGAATGTTAAAACATTTTATTTGCATTATATGCTTCTCTCTCACTGCAAAGCTAAGCTCTCTCAATGGCATAAATCCAATTGTACTGATCGTGGATAGGAGAAAAAATATAATCAATATTTTAAAAATTGTGTGAAATTGCCTAAAATAGATTTTCTATACATAAGAACATCATGACTGTAAGACTCAATAACTTGAGATCTTTGAAGCAGCACAAGAAATGAATGAATTAGAAAGCTAGGATTCTCCTCTATCCAATGGGATAAAGCTCCTGGCCAGATCTCCAGTTCATGTAAGCCACTGAAGATCCCTGGAGTTAGAAGTAGTCTCAGTGGGTGAGGATTAGTGGGCGGAGTGCAGGTGAGATGGTCAAAGATGCTTGATAAGTGCCATTTATCATGAGTACCACCACCACATGCTTTATATATACCTAAATCTGAACTCAAATAGCAACTGGAAATGAATGATATAGAAAAAGAGGGCCTGATTTTTGAAGATGCTGAGCACCTGCAACTCTCAATGATTTAAAATATCCATATCACCAAAGCACTACACAAAAAACCTGGCTGTGCTCAAGAGGTGGAAGGTTAGAGAGAATAAACAAGAGAGATCACACCTGAGCTGTTGCAAACAGAAACATTATGTTTACTCAGCTTCCACTTTGCTGCTTCCTGCATGAAGATCACACTGTACAGGGTAGAGAAGCTGAGGCTCAGAATAGTTGGCCATGTGAAGCAAGGTCTAACCGTCAACTGGATGGCAATTCTGTGTCTCCTGCATTAAGCTTGGAACTCCTAATTTATGTTAGCTCAGCTGCTAAAACTATAACCCCAGATTTCTTCTCCTCATCTCAGTTTATTTAATTATAAAATGGAATATCCAGGATGAACATTCACTCTTGTCCTGCTATCTGTTACTGAAACAAAACCTTTCAATGCTTCCGAACCACATTTTTTGACATTACTATTCTATGGGAAATTCCAGTTTCCAACTAGTTCTAGCCATGACCCATGGAGTCAGGGCTTTAAAAGATCAAGGATTGGCAGAGAAGGTCACTTTTGAATTCAGGGCACTATGGCTCTAGGCCTGGAAGCTTGAGTCTTGGCATCATCCCAAATGGGAGGAACGTGAGTGAGAGATTTAGTACCTAAGTGTCCTTTATTATAAGTGGGGACGGGGGTTACAGAAGGAGAATTAGGCAGAGCCTTAATCTCTACACAAAGCTCATTTAAGCCCAGTTGGGGTGTTTGTATGCTCTATGGAAGACCAGGACAAATTACTGGGGCGGGGCTTCCCCCCCCCGCCCTTGTAGGCCCTGTTTAGCCGGTCTGCCCATGCTGGGGGGCCCGAATAAATTCCGGGCCTGGCTTCCCCGGTTCCCCCCCCTCTCTCGTCGGCCCTTTTTAGCCGGTCCGCCCTTGCTGGGGGGGCTGGAAATTTTTTTTCACCGGGGCCCAAACCCGCTCTCGGCGGCCCTGTGGAAGCCAGACAAATCTCTCCACCAACTAAGAACGGCCATGCACCACCACCCACAGAATCGAGAAAGAGCTATCTATCTGTCAATCCTTTCCGTGTCCGGGCCGGGTGAGGTTTCCCATGTTGAGTCAAATTAAGCCGCAGGCTCCACTCCCGGAGGTGCACTTCCATCAATTCCTTTAAGTTTCAGCTTTGTAACCATACTCCCCCCGGAACCCAAAGACTTTGATTTCCCGTAAGCTGCCCAGCGGGTCATGGGAATAACACCACCGGATCGCTAGTCGGCATCATTTATGGTCGGAACTATGACAGTATCTGATCGTCTTTGAACCTCCGACTTTCTTTCTTCGTTAATGAAAACATTCTTGGCAAATGCTTTCTCTTTGGTCCGTCTTGCGCCAGTCCCAGAATTTCACTTCTAGCGGCACAATACGAATGCCCCCAACCATTCCTCTTAATCATGGCCTCAGTTCCGAAAACCAACAAAATAGAACCGGAGTCCTATTCCATTATTCCTAGCTGGAGTATTCCAGTAACCAGCCTGCTTTGAACACTCTCATTTTTTCAAAGGAAATGCTTCGGACCCCCAGGACACTCAGTTAAGAGCATCAAGGGAGCGCAGAGAGGCAGGGGCTGGGACAGGCGGTAGCTCACCTCGCGGTGGACCGCCAGCTCGATCCCAAGATCCAACTACGAGCTTTTTAACTGCAGCAACTTTAATATACGCTATTGGAG